CTCAAATATTCCATGAGGAGAATTTCATATTCAGAGGAATTCAAAGCAAGTTCACAAAATATTTGACAAAAACTATCGTATAACAATTATTAATCCCAATTCAAATTCATAAACGAAGATCAAACTTGATCATCTTTCATCAAAATATCGTAAATATTTTTTTTCAATACCGCAATATCGAATTCAAGCATCGAACAAGAATTTTATTCCAAATACCTCGAACGGCTTGCTCCTTCCAGATTCTCTTGTTCTCCGCAAGACATGGAATCCATGGTTTCCCAATCTTAAACCTTCTGCTTTCGCCACCCGATCCTATGGATTGTTCGTCATTTGAATAAGATCGCAAGATGTAGCACGTGAAACGTATTAAAGTGTGACACGAATTTCTCGCTCACCGTTATTCGATTCGTCCACGCTCTCCTTTACGTTCAACGGTGTGAGAACTGTCTCCAACATATCGCTGCATACCTGCATGCTGGGCTCGACGATAAACTCGATGAATCCTATTTGCGATTCAGCCACCAGGGTATTGTTACGATCGCACAGCGGAGAAAACGGCAATCCAAGTGCCTTTTCCTTATCCCCTTGGCGGAAAAATTCTTCCAACAGTTGCATTGTCCATCTGAGTAGAAAGGAACAATAACATTACGCTTTCTATCGATCAGGTTTAAATTTTTTTATGAAATCGTGCTTAATAATTAAATGAGAGGGAAAAAATGGAATTTTGTTTAAGAATGAAATCATTAATAGAATTGTTTAAAGAGATTTTGATAAGAAAGGAATTAAAATTAGATGGATGGATTTGGACAAATGAAAAAAAAGAGATTGAATAGAACGTTGCATTTAAAAAAATAAGAATGATTTGATTGCAAGATAGGAAATGATTTTTAGAAATAAATTGAATAGTCCCCCCCAAAAAAAAAAATGGAATAAGAGAGAATATTTTTCATTTTGAAAATAAAATATTTAAGAAATAATAAAAGGAAGTAGAATAAAAGAAAATAGAAGATATTTTTTTGTAAAACAATCAAAATAAAATCAAATCTTCGAATATCTTGTATCTCTAATTTCAATCGGGATGGACACATTAATATGATGATATTAATATTTTCAATAGAGCTAAAGAATTTATTTCGATAAAAATGTCATCTGAATAATGGAATTTTCAATGCAACAGTTGTTTAATTCTTTAGAAATCGAAAAAAAATTCTACCTATGATGAAGATCCCATCTTTTGGCCGGATGCGAGATGTCGCAACAATGAAGAACCAGACTGACAGCCTTGCTTTTGTCTACGCTAGGCTCTGCTAAGCTAAGAATATTTTTCATGTTCTTCAGTTGTTGGAAATGAAAGCTCATGTCGGTCGCGAGCACCATATCGATCACCAGTGAACGAAATTCACGGAATTCCTCCCTCGATAGATTTTGTAATATATTGCACTCGTCCTCTCTCATAATTCTGAAAAACAAAATCTTGATTTCTTAGATTGTAGGTTTTAGATTAACTCTTCATCAGAATACGTGTATTTTATCATACATTTTTGAATTTTTTTTGTAGCACTTTTAAAATCTTTTGATTTTTATATCAATTTTTATATTACTATTTAACATGAAATATATTTAATATTTATAATTATATAAATGTATAATCAATGATAAACCGTATAACATTACACCAAAACCGACAAACGTCACGTAAATCAATCAAAACAAAGTATCCAAATTGTGGATACAAACAGTGGAATTTAAACCGCAAAGGGTTAACGTTTCGCGCATCATGTTTCCCATCAATTACCATTTCAATAGCAAGATTTACGAGTGACCAGAAACTCTGCGTTCCTGGGAATAACGGTTCGCAAATTGAAACGAAAATGGCGGGCAATCATGAAGAGGAGGTAGAAATACACACGCGTGACAACATTATTCCCTACGTACCGGAAACTCGCGGAGATGTGGTGATTTTCGAGAACGGCCCGATCGTTGTAGAGTAGGGCTGTATCGCTGCCGGACATTACGTGGAAATTGTTTGTGGTCCCAGTGTGCTCGTAGTCGTGAATAATCGCCGCAACCAGCGTGGCGAAAATCTCCAGGTCGGTCAGCCAATTCTGCAAACAAGCAAACGTTTGCGCGTATATATAATTCCCTGTAAATGAACAATTTCCAACGGAAGGGATTGAAAAGGGGAATCGAGCGAACCGAAATTCATTTCTGACTTGTGACACGTGGGATTTGTTCGTTTTAAGCGCAAATACTCGATTGATTGGCACAAGTGTTCCAGCTTACTTTTAAACTGTTCGATAGTTTGGTTCCAATTTCGTGGTATGAAAATTATTTGATGAAGTTGTTCACGTTCGAGCGTGAATTGGTAAGGTTTTTAGGCTTGAACTACATAAGTAATGGAAGTTTGATAAATAATCATTTTTAATGAAGTTAAAATTAATGAAGAATTAGACAGATGTTTAAAAATTTAAGGAACGATTCTTCAAACCAAAGCAAAACGATATTCAAGAAAAATTACGTTCTCGATTTTGTTTCTTATAATTGAATTAAAATTTTATAAAAATATCGAGATACGAGTTAATCTTCGTACATGAACAAATATAAAATAATTCAGAGAACGAAGAGCACAATTATTCTCAAATTCAACGACGTAAATATCATAGAAAAGAAGATAGCAATATTGAATTTACTGCTTAAAACTCGATTAAATAATTCTATTGAAATTAGAAAAACTTCAAATTGTTATGAGTCTGAAGATAATAATTTGCATCTCTCGTCATTAATTTATTTCAAATTCCAGACAAATGATAAATACGATTCCTGAAAAAACGTAATACATATTTTCAAGAAAAAATATAGATCAGTAGATCGCAAATCCATTTATAATTTTCGCATCCCTTTAAACATCATGAAAACATCAAGTCTTTATATTTCGATAATGAATTCAGATATCGGAATGAAGAAAGAAGAGTTAAACTAAAGAATTTTTTTTATCCAATTAACTTACTTACCATAAGTCCTGTTTGACATAAAATATAATGCATAGTCTGTGCAACATCAGCTGCATGAAGATTGTTATGATACGGATTTCTATGCCTGCAGTATCCCTCCTCGACTCTTCCCAAAAAGCACTCCAATACCGTGGCGGGAACTTTGAATTTGTGGATCATTCCATACCGATTCAATAGATCATAACCGAGATATTTCACAGGTGCTCCCATTGCCGCTTCATTCAGTGAAAATACGTCAAAGGACCAATCGTCTAAAGTCTTCGTTAAAAACAAAATTCAATTCAATACAAATTCAAATCAAATAATTTTTTGATATACATTCATGAAAACCCATCAATTTGAAACATTCAATAGCAACTGTTATAAGAGTTATAATCTAAGAGTTAATATTTCTTAAACTGAAAAAATTCAACGCTTCACACATTAGATATAAAATTTAATTTCATTCAAAAATCAATATCTCACTCAAAAGTTTCGATTTACAAGTGAGTTATAAGTGAAATTTTTAATCTACAAGTATAAATTCAAATTCCTTCCTAGTAAAAAGATATCGGTTTTCGCAAATATTCGCTCCCTATCAATCATTCTAGCGCTTAAATCTGACGCGATAGGTATCGAACGATATACCTTAAGCACTTTAACCACTTCCTGAGGAAACTGCATGAGCGCGGTGTTGGTGACCCGCCTGTAAATCCGATCGACAAAGATTCCCGCCCTAATAGCGTGCGCGACAGAGCGGAACTTTGGCTTCTCGTCTGCCTTCCGCCTCGTAGTCGCGAGTTGTCTGGTAAAGGTCGAAGCCAGCCACTCGCGGACTTCCGGTGGCACCGCGTCCGGTTGTACCTCCGACAGTTCATCGTCCTCGTCCGCCAGCCGCCTAAGGAAAATTGTTCTGATTAAATGATACGCGGCGAGATCAGAGACGATCGCGAAACAAGTTGGAATCACGGTGGACAACTCCTACCTTCGCTACGATTTCTTTTTTTTCTTTTTTTCTTTTTTTCTTTTCTTTGAACGAGAGAACAGAGAGTAGAGATTTACGCTCGAGCTTCCGCTAATAATCGTTTCTGCTAGTAATTCCACCCCCTCTTTTTTTTTTCCGTTATATTTAACTCGTTGTCGTGTTCGAATAGGTTTGATAAAAAATAAAAAAATAAGTAATGCATGGCTGGATCGTATATAACGGATACGAATATTTACGAGCTTTGCTCAGGGGCGAAGAAGAAATTAATGGTAGTCGTAGTTTATGCTTATCTCTATCTCGAATCGTGATAGGGTGGTTTATTCGTGACAGGGTGCGTGTGAAGCTGTGGATACAATTTCTCTTTTCCTTTTCTGTTCTATTTTTTTTTTTTTTTTCGTTTTTATCTATTTACTTTTTATTTCAGTTAATAATTTGACAATTGGGTGTTAGGTGAAAAATGGGGATTATGATATGGCGTGTTTCTTTGTTCGCAATGTTTTGGTTTACGGATGATTTAATCGGCTTTTGAAAATCATTTCCATTTTTGGAAACTATTGTTTGGAAGTTTTTTTTTTTTTTTTCTAACGAAACACGCGAATAACATACTGGGAAAATATTACTTTATAATTCTATTGCACGTGTTCGATATTAATTAAAGAAGAATGGAATAGAATGGAAACACACCATTGAATTCAATAGATATTCGTTGAATATTGTTTTGTTAACTGTTCAACCGTAACAAATTTAATTTCAATTCAATTTATTGTGTTCCAAAAGTGAATTAAAACTATTTATCCATAACGATAAAATTATTTTTAATAATATATTCAAAATTGTGTACGGATATTTAAGTATAATAGAGAAAATATACAGTAAAGGAAAAATGACAGTATGCGAAAGCTATTCAGGCACACACTGTTTCAAAGTGATGAATTATAGCAAATAAAAAAAATATTCTATGATATATCAATTTTCACTGAAATGGCAATGTATAAATTAAAAATCATGTTAACTTTATTACATTCTTTTAAAAAAATTTTATTTGTTGAAACGAGTATGGAATTGGAATATAAAAAATTGTTAATAAAATTATCGTATTATGTTAATAGTTAATGTATTTGTTAATCGATCGTATTAGGAATCTAACTTTTAAATTTGCATTCGTTTTACACGAAACATAAAAAGTTTTCTTCGACGCCAAGAACAGCAAAAGAATAATAGCGAAACCAATAATTAGAAAGTTTGTACAAATTTTCATAAGTTATCGGTGTTATATACATTAGCAAAAGATATATTTTAATATCTTTAATACTTTTAAGAGGGAGCTTGGTAAATTTAATAATAACTGTGATGGAATCTCCTCTAAAAAAAATGAAATTTTGAATGAGAACATGATGACAAAATCAAAAGTGTTTCGAACATTGACAAGTAACACGTGACTGATTTGATTGAGAATAATTTCTCATCGAATTCTACATTTCATTTTTTAGAATGTTGATTCCCATTGCTTTACATCCAATCGATCAAAAGTTTATATATTGGATAAATATTGGTATTGTCATATCAATGAATAAAACTACGATTAATATCCTCTTCTCATATCCATTAAAAATATTAGACAAGTGTTGATATCGATTGAGTGAGTGCTGGGATACATAAAATTTGGAATACGTTTAAAATTTTAATCAATTACGATATTGATACATGGAATCATTGGTACAATTAAATATTGATTTATCAATACTGGTTAAAAAATTTATTGCACAGAGAATATTATATTTACTTTCGACCATGTGTAAAAATTATTACTTCATTCATGGATACGATCAATTAAAACAAACGTGCATAACAAAATTTCACTCGAATAAGTGGAATTTGATAAAAAGAAAAAAAATTTGTGATTTATTATGATGTTAAAGCGTTTAATAACCGTATCTACAGTAAATTAAATAATATTTTCGTGGTCGGTTGTCAATAATACGTGATAAATGAGGATCCATGCAGTGTGGATGGTGTTTAAATTCATTGGAAAGGCAGGTGAAAGTGTGACATTTATTTTGTAACATCTGATCTTTATACTTGTTCGTGTATTTAATTCTTTGATAACATACTACATAACTTACTTATAATATTACCTTTGAAAAATTTATTTCTGTAAATTTAAAATTTAAAAACAATTGATAAAAATAATTCAAAAGAATTAAATATATGAATACATCAAATATATTATATGACTTGTTTTAATTATTAATATAAACAGATGTAATATAAACAACTCGTGATTAAAAATGTTACAAAATCAACGACGCCAATTGATCTTTAATCAATTTCGAATCATCGATCCAAGAAATGGCGTCATTCTCTCATGTCCTTACCACGAGTCCAAGAACGCGAGGCAATCTCAAACCGCTACCAATGAAACAAAATAATGTAATGTGTATAATATAAAGCAATGCGTATCATGATCGTGAACGATATCTTAAGCGATTTCTGTTATTCAAACATTTGAACGAACCTACGTCTTATACCCTGACGGCAAACAGCGGTCGACTCCACACGCTCGGCATCTCTATAATTCGAAACATCAAGAAAAAAAGGTGTGTGTAACACATTAACGATAGATTACATTCATCAGGCCGTATCTAAGGCACGAAACGTCCGCCTGCGTGCGATTGCATCGATGTATAATTCAATACATAAATAAAGAAAGAGGAAGAAAGAAAGTAATTAAGAGAAGAAAAAAGAAGGAAAGTAGAGAACAGTAACGGAAATAGAAACGAGAGTAAAAAAATTAATAGAAGTTTGCGTATTTTCATTCCACCAGCGATATTTCATTCTTTTCTCTTTCGTTTATTTTTTTTATCTCTTTCTTCTATTTTAATTAAAAAGCATATTGACGACGACTTGGTCATCTCTTGGTTCGTACAGAGGACGTTTGAGCATTCCATTAAACAGCTCGTTTCAAATAACAAGTGAATTTTCAGCGTACACCATCCTATATGTATATATATATACACGCATGCACGTTCTCATATAGATTGGCGCAGGAAACATACATAGAGACAGAAGGAGGAATATCGATCGTATATATATATAAATATATATATATATATATTTTTTTTTTTAAAGAGAGCGATGCATACAGCTGTAAACAGGCAGTTATCCAAGAAGTGAGCAGGTTACACCTAGAAAGATCTAAAAAGAGGCTATAGAAGGGGGATATATACAGGCCAGGCAGGTAGAGACAGTCGTCATGCTGTGTTTAAATGTGTTTGACACGCGATCGAGTTTGACTATTTGCAATTCGATTATCTACGTCATTTCTAAATAGCTATTCTGTCTTTTTATCGAGCTCTCAAATAGATTTTTTTCTATTTCTTTTTTTCATCGTTCTTTTTGTTTATTTTATTGGAAAAGAATTAAATCGATAGAATGCTGTTTGAAATATCGCGCCATAATTGATGCATTTTAGTATGTAAAATATTCGAATATCGAATTTGACTGCAAGATGTAGTGTAATTCTTTGTATGATTGTTTATTAATCTAAAACTAATATATTTATATTGGTTAGTATTGTTTAATAAAATGATATTCGATTTTAATTTCGTAGCAAGACAGCTACGCTATATTCATTGAAACCTAAATTTATTATTACCACTCGTGCATTATAGATATGTGCAATTTCGTTAAGAAACAATATAACAATCCTAAACGTATAGATTTCACTAATGATCGATATATGCATAGTGTACTAAAATTATATTAATTCCTGTGCACAAGATTCTATGCTCTCTATTTGATATAAAGCCAAAACTACGTATATATTGACTAGAAGAAAACGTAGTATGTATTTGAGGTATATCTATGACGTTGAGGGAGCGAAAGTGTCACATTTTTAAATTTAATTAATTCTTCTTGTTCGATAATCTTAATTTTATTATTAATTTAAAAAAAATCTCTTCCATTCCAAATTTCTATAACTCTTTTCTAATAATCATTCTATTATTTCTTTTATCAATATTTTTTTTAAGCGTAACATCGCGTTAAAAAAATATTCAATTTGTTATAACTAATAAATAATTTACGATTCATACAAAATTTCACAATTTTAAATAAATACGAAAAATATTTAAATCCAATATTATTTTCAAAATTTCAATTTCACGGTTTATATTTTGTTCGTAACATTTGTAAAGCGGAAGAAACAAGCAAGGAGGAAAAGAAAGAAATTTCACGCGTAAAAAGAAATCGTTTCACATGAGCCATCGTCGAAAGGGAAACATTCCGCGTCAGCTTTTCGCTTTCAACCCCCATCGCCGTATTCATTTTTCACTATCAACCCGGTCGATCGATCCGAAATTCAGTTCGGTTCCCCCTATAGATGCTAATGATCGAGCAAAACGACGCATGATCGTGACCCTTAATAACGAGCTCGATGAGGTCGAGAGAAAAAGATGTCAACACGTGAAAGGGATATTGCCGATATCTAGGGTGATAGGTTGTCTTGGATATCTGGTAGGTCGTGGTAGGGGGTGGTGAACAGTCGTGTGAGGTCGGAAATGTGAATATTTCGCAACCTTGCCCATACGGGGGTGCGAAGCTTCCGTTTCTGGGTTACCACCGCGTGGCCCTGTTGTCCATCCGAGTCCAAGGCGCTCCCAAGGGATGCAGATGACAGGCCCGTACCCCTACGCGATGACCGAGAGCACTCAACCCCTCCTGAATTCACCCTGCGATACTGCTTGTTAGTGCACGTGTCAAGTAGGGAACAGAACAGTAGAATATTACACTTTTGTTTGTTTCTTTGTTTTTTTTTTCTTTATTTATAATCATTAGCATTACAGCGCCGCCATACGGGGAGGGATTCATAGGCTGATTAGATATAGAATCGATGCTGCTATCCTTTGGGATACCTGTTTCTGAGAAATAATTATTTCATCATTAAGGGGTATGTCTCGTAGTTGCGTTGATATAAACTCTGGAAAGATTATGGGTTAAAGGTTATATCGAAATTCTAATTATTGCAGATTTATGTAGATACGAGTAGAGAGGATCTTCGAGGTTACCTCTCGTTGGTCGATGCTGCTGGAATATGTTAATTCAGAAATATGGACGTATTTAGAGAAATAAGGAACGTTGAAATATAGATCGTGGATAATCATGGCTCCATTACGGGTTGAATATAAATACAATATATATCTGTTAGAGTTAATATCCAAAGTTTATCGTAATAACTTAAGGATAATTTCATGGAAAATTTATTGCATAGAAAAAGATTTATTTGTTGTATTGTGGTTTCGTAATTTTTCACGAAGTTTTTTTTATTATTCTTTTTAAAAATGTTCATGATGTCAGGAACAGGCTCGTTATTCGAAAGCGGTGAAAAGCAATCTTGAAGTTGAATTGATCTTTTTGACCTAATATATTACAGTTTTATTAATTTCGATATTTAAACGAAATATGAGAAAGAAAGAAAAAAAGAAAGAAAAAGAAGTATCGAAAATATATTAACTTTTTATTTTTTTAACATAAGGAACAACTAATATATAAACAATTTATATACTTAAATAAAATTGAATATGAAGTAAATATTATCGTTAAAAAAAAAATAATTTGAAATATTAAAAATATAGAATATAAATTTATGGGAAAATAGAATAAAGATATCTCGCAAACAATGATTAATTTATAGAAAGAATTATTAAAACAATTGTTAAAAATAGTAAATTGTTCATTGGTAAATATTCAAAAAATTACGATATATAAAAAGAAAAAAAAATTGATTGCCTCCTGTGAGGATTGAACTCACGACCCCTGGTTTACGAGACCAGTGCTCTACCACTGAGCTAAAGAGGCGCTCTTGGTATCCTTAATGCTTAAATTGATGGTAATATTAAAATTTGATATTTTTGTTATAAAATTGATGTATACATACATGTAATTTATTATTTTCACTATCTTGAATAATATATATTTTATAAAAATATAATATATCATAAATATATGTTAAAAAATGTAATTTATTATTTTCGTTATTTCTTCGTATTTTCAAGGGTCGTGAGTTATACAAAATGTCAAATATTATAGAAAATATTCATTAAAATATAGTCACTAGATATTAATAAAAATATTAATAAACGATGATTATAATAAATAGTAACGAATAAATTTCTAAATGATCAATTAGTTGTATTGCCTAGAATTTAAAATATAGTTTGATTATAAATATATTCTTAGGATATAGATGCAATTTAAGATTAAAAAACTGTAACAATACAATGTACATATATATATATATATATATATACATATATATATCTTCTCGAAGAAGTCACTGTCTGGATATAACTATAATAGAAACAACTGTCACAATATTATTAAAGATGGCATTTGCAGAAAAGATTATTAATTAATATTTTGAACGAAACTTACTTGGTTTCATCGAGGAAGACAGCTTCGAGTACACGTGCCGCGTAGTGCAAATTTCGTTGAAGTAATTCTGCTGATATTTCGCCATGTTGAAGCTGTCTCAGTAAACATCTCAATCTGGAACAAATATTTCATATTTGTTTTATTACAAAAGTTAAAAATTATGATTAATAATATTAAAAAAATATATTATATTTTTATCGTATTTCTATAAATGATATGATCATTAAAAAAATATTAATTTTAATTTTATTAGAGATTTCCAATGATATGATTTCATTTAAAATCAATAATTATCAAATGATCAAGCAGAATGTGTTATTTCAAAATGAATATAGAAGAATATTAATACAAAGAAAAATATAATTTTTCTGAATGCCATACCTGAGAGCAGCTTTGTCGCAAGCGTCGGGGGTGTCAACGGCAGGAAGCGAATCTGTCGTTAAATCGACATTATCAAGGATCTCATCGAGATCCACGGATTGACTTGACGAAAGAGTGTCAGGACTATGCGGGGGCGGAGAACTTTCGAAACTTCCGCCAATGCTCTTATTTTTGCCAGAACTCCGGCGTACTATCGTTAATGTACCTTGTTCTGAAACACGAGAAACTCGAATTAAACAGTATTCCGTTTAATCCAGAATTTATAATATATAATAATATACAAAATTTTATGTTTCATATTTTAAAAGAGAATCCCATTAATGAATCATTAATTAAATTATCTAGATTTCGAAGAACTAGATTCAACACATTATTTATATCTAACTTTAGAATGGCATAATACAAAATTATAATTAAATTTCCATTTTATGATTTAGAGATTATATATAGAGATATATAAAATTTACAAAAAATTTTGATAAAATTTTGTATAATATATAGATTGAAATTTTGTATTCATCATGAATATAAATGACCTGGAAATGTACATTATTTAATCATATTAATGTATATGCATAATTCTATAAGGCGTGTAATTGCACGAGGGTTGTAATAATGTACAACAATTGCGTTATCAAGTCACTTACTCGATAGCTGGCCATTTCGACCTGGCGAGGAAGGATTGTGCAATCGAGACGATGTTGTACCAGTGCAGCTCGTAGTTGCATTAACGTTCGGAGATGCACCGGGTGAGGACACTGCAATATCGTCTCTTGTGGCTCTTCGATCCGGCGGAGATGCAACTGCAATTCAATAAACATGTAAATTATTATTAATGCAATATTATTACATATATGATTTTTCAAATTATTATATTCACAACTTTTAACAATATATTTATTTCATTTTAATCTTGTTTAATGATATTGCATATCATTACATTTGTATAAATAATTCAATATTTGTATAAATAATTCAAAGAAAAGGAAAATAGCATTATTATATGTATTATTTTATGAGATGATAATAAATGATAATAAATGATAATAAAAAGATAATTTGCAAATAAAAATAGGGAATCTATAATTTAAAAATAAGAAATTACGAATTACGATTATAATAATGTTTATCTCGTGTTATTTTTAATTTCATTATTTTTAAAAATTGTCAAAATGGAATATTTAATAATAAGAGAAAAAAAGATTTAAAAACGGATATATTTAGAAAACTTAATAATTTAAAAATCAAACAATGCTATTTGTATCTTTTGAAACAACTAGCAGAATAGATAAAAATAACAAAAATAATTTCATGTACAACATATTGTAAAAATTTTGAAAGAATTATGAAATTATTTTTAATAATAGTAAGTGAATAATGATTAATTAGATTTAAGCATAATTCCAAGGATTTCTTGAATAAAGAAAGGTCATGATAATCACTCTAATTAATTGACCAAACGACCAATGTGAAAACAACAGGTCGTATAGTGGAAGGTTGGTGAAAGAGGTATCGATTCGTGCTAGATGTCTATGGATTACAAATTAGGCCTGCAGTTCAATCAATTGTGCTCAAATTACAATGCTATCGCATTGCATTTGATTTTGACTAGTTATTGGGAAGTTATAGGTAAATTTCTAGCAATGGTTGAAATATATGTATTATGAAATTAATTACACAATTCTTGAAAATTTAGTATATATTTATATTTGTGAGAAACAAACATTCTCAATTTTTTTGAGAATAATTTTTTATATATTTATTATATTCGATTTCATTTTTCTATGTATTTTCTGAGAAATTCTTTAGAAAAATATTCTCATTATATTTTCAGAAATTCATTACGTGATATATATCTGAAGATTGATAAGGTTACTGATATTAAAATTATCTTAAAAATCTAACATATTGTTATCATGCAAATACGATTTTTTTTTT